GGGGGGGGGGGGCAGATTGTATACAGCAAACTTTGGACAATAACACCTAAAACAACGTATTAGGCAATTTGTAGAGTATACATCTTTAGAAAACCCATAATTTCCTTGCTCGAATTCAAATTTGTATGGACGTTGATGGAATGTTTGAATAACAAACAATTTTTTTTAAACAAATTCGTAATTTTCGATTTTTTCACTCGAAATAAGGCGGTCAAGATCTGCCGAGAAACGCGGCGCGCGCGCGCTTATTAACAATAAAAAAAAACAAGTCTTCAGAACAAAATATGCCGGCGTAACTCTTCGGATTTTTGTTAAGGGATGATCAAAGATTATTTTAGAATTTTGGCAACACTAAAAATTGCAATTTTTAATACAGTTTATTGACGTTGAAAATGGTTAAAATGGTTCGAACAAAAATCATTAATATCTCGAAAACGGTAGATTTTAGAGAAAAGTTGCATAGGAACTTTTTTGTTTAGGATACCCCAAACAGCCAAAAAAATTTATTTCGAGCGAAAAAATCGAAAATTACGAATTTGTTTAAAAAAAATTTTGTAAACAATTTTTGACCATTAGTAACGTCTGGCAACATGTTTCAAGGGTCATTCTTTTAGTAAGATTAGAAAAAAAATCAAATGAGAATCATGTTCCTAGCAGGAGCGAAGATACAGCCTGGACTATTTGTTAAGTAGTACTTTTTTGAAATAGTAAAATAAAGGTATAGTTTTTCCGATCTCAATTGAAGACCAAAGAGCTAGGCAATATCTACCAGGTTCGGTTGCTACGCAGCAACACGCCATTGAAATATTTAGAAAACTTGTTCCCACATTTATTTAGCCATACCCATATACAGCTCTTGTCGAACTAAATGTCGAGGTGGTAGAAATATATATGCCCAGTTGAAGAATGTGCGCGCGTACAAACGGCGCACAAACACAGCCGCACTGGGCGACTGAGCCATAAATTTCAATTGTCGACAAATTGCCTAGCAGTGCACTGCAGCAATTCGAAATTATTTTATTGTTGATTATTTTTATTTAATAACTTTTCTAACCTAAATTAACAACCTTTCCTCATCGTTTCGTGTCAAGGATATGTTCGTACAGGCAGTAATATATTTTAGTTGAAAATGCGAATGTTATTTGATGTCATAATCAAAATTTACCATCAATATAATAAAATTGTTTGAGGACATAAATAATTAAAATATGTTGTTGACCAAATGAACATATAATGGAAATTTTCTATACATTATATACAAATTATTATGATTATGATTTTTTTATCTCTAGCAAACAACTTTTTTAGGGATGCATATGAAACTTTAAATTTTATTGCTAGGCGTCTTTATAGATGTTCAACTGACTTCGGAAAGACTATACCTAGTTTACTCTTATGATATTTTCATGTTTTTTATTTTCTGGACACCCCGTACAAGAAATGTTAATTTTCTCCATGTCAAACTCATTTTAAATATATGAAAAATGAAAAATAAAAAAGGTTTTCCCTCTAATACTTATTTCAAGGAAATCCGGTGTAAATGTGGCGTATTAAACACACATTAAACTCGGCCCCGTATGGGTATGATTCACCTTTCCGAATCTGACGGTTTATCGATTCCTCCACGGGCACCATCAGAAACAAAAGAGGCTTAAGTCGGACGCAGAAAACTAGGAAATCCCCGTCGTGTTCGCCCCGGCATTATATTTATTTTTCAGAGAGAGGGCTTAGCATTCTTTGTTCGGGCTCCAAAAGTGCGGTCGTCGAGAGACGTAGTGGGCCCTGCACGCGCCCCGCTCCCCCGGCGCCCCCAACTAATCCGAGGGGTTGCCTGGCGCTGGCTCCGGGCACGCACTAGGGGAAAGTGATGCTGTGTCTGGACCAATCAATACCGGGTTCAAGGACGGCACGACTCCACTTATGCGAGTGTACGAAAGGGGGCCGCCCGCCCGCCATGAGCCGGAAGGGTTTTGCCCAGTTCCACGGAGTTCCTCGACGAAGATTTATTGTAGCGCGGCACAATTCTTCCCGGAATTGTAACTGTACTTTCTAACCAAAAAAAAATCATCATTACAGATCACATCCCCAGCAGCAGAACTAGTTTATTTTACCAATTTAAAGCCATAATATCCTTAAACATTCCCTACAACGTAGTTGTCATATTTTCAACTTTAAATGTAATTACATTTTCTTAAAAAGTAGCAAATAAGTTTATTCATCTTACTTCATAGGAAAAATTGAAAAATTATTTAGAGAATTTAATTTCTCATCGAAATAGCTTATTTAAAAAAGTTAAAAGGAACATTTTATGCAAAAAATCGTTAATAAACAATTTGAAAAAAGCATAAAATTCGATTTTCTGATTTTTTTTTTACTTTTTTGCCTCTAGTTTTTTTTTTTGTTNGAGATAGGGGTGAAAATGCACCCCTTTCAGTTTTTTAATTGTAGCTCGAAAACAAAGCAAAATTTAGCTATAATTTATAGGAAAAATTATTTAGAAAATTGAATTTCCCATGGAAAAAGCTTATTTAAAAAATTTAAAAGGAAAATTTTATGCAAAAAAATCGTTAATAAACAATTTGAAAAAAAGCAAAACTTAGATTTTCTGATTTTTTTTTTACTTTTTTGCCTAGTTTTTTTTTGAGTGAAGTTGAAGTATTAAATTGCAGTTTTTTAAATATAGCACGAAAACGAAGCAAAATTTCGGTATAGTTCATAGGAAAAATTTTGTAAAGAATTGAATTTCCCATCGAAATGGATTATTTAAAAAATGTAAAAGGAAAATTTTATGCAAAAAATCGTTAATAAACAATTTTAATGAAAGCAAAAAATAAGATTTTTTGATTTTTTAACTTTTTTAATAAAATAATTTATTAAAAACTTGAGAATTTAAGTACAATAAAGTTTATTAATAATGTATATACGGTGTGTCCACGGATGGAGTTGACAAGAGAAGGAACTCTTGTTTTTGACTTTATCGAAAAATGTCACTCTTTATAAAAAGTTCTGCCCCTAAATAAAATGAAACTCATAAATTAAAAAAACACGAAGACTCAAGAGAGAAGTACCATTATTTATTATTTTACACATTTCTATAAAATAAACCTGTTTATAACCTCAAATAATGCCCTAATATAAATATTAAAATAAAAATTTCAATTCTGTCACATTTTTTCGAGGGGCAGAACTTTTTATAAAGAGTGACATTTTTCGATAAAGTTAAAAACAAAAGAGTTTCTCAACTCCATCCGTGAACACACTGTATATACACTATTAATAAACTTTATTATACTTAAATTCCCAAGTTTTTACTAAATTATTTTATTAAAAAATTTTAAAAATCAGAAAATCGAATTTTTTGTTTTTCTTCAAATTGTTTATTAACGATTATTTTGCATAAAATTTTCCTTTTAAATTTTTTAAAAAATAAAAGGGATGCATTTTCACCCGTATCTTCGATTTCTACCCTCTAATTTAATAGCACTCCGCGTTTTTTTAAATCTAAAATGACCATTTGAACGATTCATGTAATAAAATATCTTGAACGTCATAGTTCATAGTTCCTGTTAAAATCCTATATTCAATAGCCTATATACATTGACGACCATCTACAAAAATATATTACGTAATATTACACCAGACCTAACCTT